TTGCTGTGTAGCAAATATCCCAAGACTTTGTAGCTGGGAACCACAGCCATTTCCTCCCAGTCCTGTGGCTGCCCAGTCTTGGCCAGTGGTTCTTAGGCAGCTCCTTGCACTGGCAGGACCTGCTGTCATGGGATGCCCTCTAGGGCTGGAGTGGCAGCTGGCACACCCGCATGGTAGACTCGATGACTGTCGTCAGCTGGGAGCTCAGGCGGAGTGTTCCCAGCGGCTTAGGCACCCCTCAGCACGGCAGCTGGGTCCCAAGAAGGAGCCTCTTCTCTGACTCTGTTCAGGCTGCAGTAACAAAATAATTACAGTGGGTACTTTATAAACAACAAAAACGCCGGAAGTCCAAGATCCAGGGACCAGCAGATTTAGAGTCTGATGAGGGTTTGCTCTGCTTCCAAGATGGCACCTTCCCCGGGTCTTCCCACAGCAGGAGGAAGGAGCTCCCTGGAGCCTCTTTCACAGGCACTAACTGCACAAAGGCAAGGCTCCTCACTGAAGCCCTCCTCGTCACACACTGCACGGGGGGATGGGCTGTCAACATGAACTTGGGGCACACAAGAGCAAGCATTCAAGAACAGGATGCAGAAGCCCCCAGGATCCCGAAGGCTCAGTTCTGGAACTACAAAGTGCCATTTCTGTGCCATTCCATTGCTACTCATCCTGGGGCCAGCCCACATTCTGCAGCAGGGAATCAGCCCGGCCTCTGGATGGGGAGAGGAATGGAGGACGGTCAGCCCTCTTTAACCTGCCACCACACTCAGTGGACATGCCGTGGAAACTACTGGGGCTGTGAATGGACAGATGGTCTCCCCCAGCTCCATCCTCTGTGACCCCTCCCAGAAATGATGGGGGCCTCTCTGTGTCCGAATCCTTCTAAAGTGGGTGTGAGTCGGTGGCACTCCTGGACATGGGAGGTTGAACCAGGGTGGGTGGCCCGGGAGGGCCAGAGCTTCTCACTCCCACGGGGCCCCCGCTGTCCACCCATAGCTGACACTGGAGGCTGTTCTGAGCTAGGCTAGGCTAGGCCAGGGCCTGTCCTGAAGTGTCCATGACCTGCACACCTGACCCTCCTCTTCCCTCAGCATGGTCCCTCTTCTGTGCAGTCCCCCTCCCCCCATGGGAAGCCCCCGCTTCAGCATCCACCCTGCTACTTCTGGCACTGGAAACTGCGGGGGCACAGAGTGGGGCCACACAGATGGGACCAGCCTCCCCTTCCTGGGCAAAAGGCCACACAGAGCCGCTTCCTGCGGCTTCCAGGCAGCCGCTGCTTGGCACTTGGCAGATGGTCTCCTCTGGGAACGGGCCCTGGCATCTGCTTCTCTACTTGGGCTGCATCTGCTTTCCTGGCCCCCGGGGACCCGAGGACTTGCGGTCCTGCTTTCTCTCACGCACACCTCCGTGTGTCTGTGACATCTGTTGATGCACACCTGGTACAGGCTCCGTCCCAGATGCTAAGTGCTCAATGGCGGCCGAGCACAAGGACTTGAGGGTTGCCTGCTCTCAGGAGACAGGGCCCCTGGCCCAAGGGACTGGCTACCTACAGGATGTGGCTCCAAACTGGCAGAGGACACTTGCTCGTAGCTACAAAGGTGACAGGGACCACCTGGGTGGAGGGAAGCAGCAGGAAGGTCATTTCAGGGAGTGGGAGGGTTCCTTTCTGCCCCTGAGCTGTGCCCTGACCTAGGACTTCAGTCCTTTCCTGGACTGCCCTCTCTAAAACTCTTCCTGTACTCAGACTCTGATGTCCTCGAGGGCAGGGTCTTCCTGGTACAGGGTCCCTGTTCAGTGAGTTTGGAACTTGAGGGGTCACCATAGGAGGTCACTGCCTGAGCCCCTAATCCCCGAAGGGAGGGCAGCTGTTGCCCAATGGGTCCTCTTCTGCTTCCTCTGTAGCCCTGCTCTGGTTGCGGGGGAGCTTCAGGGCTGAGGACAGAGGGCATGCTCAGAGGCCCCACCACAGGCCATGCTTGAGGAACCCTGGCCCTAGACTCCAGGGGGTTCTGATCTAGTACAGGGGCAGCACTGGCCTGGGCTCCAGGGCCGTGGCTCGCAGGCTTCCCCTCAGGCTGCTCTCAGCCTCCCTGTGGCTGTTCCAAGGGTGGGCAAGTGAGGCCACCCTCCTCTCAGAGCTCATGGGCCCTACAAGCAGCAGCACCACCACCTCACCTCAAGAGCAGGCCATGTTCCCCAGGGTGGGCGCTCCTGTGGCCTACACACACACACCCACACTTACTCCAACATGATTCCCAGCCGCAGCCGCAGGATGCTGCCGGGAGCGAAGCCCAGGTAGGCTCTTGAGGCTGGACCCTCTGATCTCGGGCACAGCAGACTGTCAGCATCACCCGGGATTTTATTTTTTTCTTTCGAGGTGCTGGGGAAGGAACCCAGAGCTGGGCCCACGCAAGGCTAGTGCTGCACCCCCAGCAGCACCCCAGCGCTTTCTCTTTCATTTTCTATTTGAGACAGGGTCTTTCTAAGTTGCCCAGGCCGACCTGGAACTTGTGATCCTCCTGCCTCGGGCTTCTGAGTGCTGAGACTACAGGTGTATACTACCATACCTGGCTCACCTGGAAGGTTTTGCAAACCTGGGCCTGGGACCTGCCTGGAACAATTAAGTCCACCCCTGGAGCAAGACCAGGACCTGAGCGATCTGATTCATTTTCATTTATTGGTTTTAAGCTCCCCAGGGGATTCTGGCATACAGCCAGGACTGGGAACCCCTGAAAAATACTGGGGGGTTCTTAACCAAAGGACCCTGGCAATGTCTGGAGATGTTCTTGATTGTTACAACTTTGGGGGATGGAGCTACCAGTACCTGGTGGGTAGGAGCCAGAGAAGCTCAGTGTCCCTCAGTGCTCAGGTAAGGATGGGACCCAAAGTGGTAGGGCCCACCTGGAGCCCTGTGCTATGACACAAATCCTAAGCCTCCAGAAGCAGAGGGGGCAGATGAGTCTCAATCTTTCCCTTCCTGGCTCAGCGCCATGCAGGTGACAACACACACTCCTGCTCCTCTGAAGTGCATCCCCTTCTCCAGCAGGACTGGGGGCTGTTAGGAGAGCCCAGGACTAGAGCCAGGCAGAGCCAGACAGGCCACGCGCCACCTGGGAAAACAATACGCCCTCGGGCCGTTACTGGTGGGAATGAAAGGACCCCTCCTCTCCTTTGGGGAGCTGGACACCCTCCCCCGAGGGCAAAGCTCTGCGCTCGGAGCATTCAGCCTGCTCAGGGCTTTTCTGCTGCAGAAATGTCCTCCTCATCCTTTCCTGCCCTTCTGGAACAAGAACAGCGCAGGGACTGTGCCTGGTCCCCGGGGGCTTCCTCATATCTCCCTTGCCACCACCAGAGGACACAGTTCAGAGCAACCCTGCCCATAGCTCTTCTGAGGAAGAACTGGACACAGGACCCTTGGCCACCCAGGACCTGTGAGCAGTGGTGCACTTCCAGGGGCCCAGGAACTCTCGGGGACTCTGGCACCAGGAGCCCCCGGGAAGAAAGTCAAGAACCAGCAGTGCTGCTGGGGGAGACAACTATGAATCCTACACAGGGCGCCGACCTGGGGACAGCAGGGCTGGGAGGCTACAGGTGACGCTGTGCTTCCAGGCCTCGGCACAAGCAGCCCATGCCCAGTGAAGCCCTTAGCACACAGCAGGGGCATAATGCTTGCCCTGAAATGCCCACATTCAGCTCATCAGGACCCCCCCCACCCCCAGGTCTCTGAGCTCCTCTGCACAGGTCTCCCCTGGGGACACATGGGGGCCAATGGCACAGGCCAACTGCAGACCCCATCCCTCCTTTATTTATTTATTTATTTATTTATTTTGGTGCTGGGGATTGCCAGGGCCGCCTAACCACTGAGCCACATCTGTAGCCCTTCTTATTATTTATTTTGGGACGGGGTCTTGCTAAATTGCTTAGGGCCTCAGTAAATTGCTGAGGGGGCTTTGAACTCACAATCCTCCTGCCTCAGCCTCCCAAGTCGCTGGATTACAGGCATGCACCAGCAGTTCCCATCCCTTCCGGGAGGGTGGGGACAGTGGGGAAGGAGCATTCTGTCTAACCCTGTCCCCTTCTATTTGTTGGAGTGACTTAAAGCAAGAACACAGGGCTAGGAAATGCTGACTCCACTTCCTGCAATCCCTCCCCACATTCTCCAAAGGAATGTCATTTTCCTGCTCTGGGACTCTGTTTCCCCTTCTAAGCTCCATATGCACACAGAGCACAGGATGTGGAGAGCTTAGGTTTGTAGGTGGGGATGGCACAACAGGCTGTGACAGTGACATGAGAAACATGTTAGGGGTCCTTCTTCTCCCTCTTTTTGAGCTAGGCAGTGTCTACAGAGGCCTCCAGGGAAGGGGTGCCTCCTGAGAAACCCTCGGATGAAGGGCCTCTGCATACACTGGAGGGGACCTGGGCAGCTAGTGCCAGTGGGTCATCATCGAAAGCCTGCAGGCCTGGGGGCCCGCAGATGACCCCACCCTCGTCTGCAGCCACTCGACCCAGGTTCACTCCCAGAGGCGGGTGAAGAGGCCTGTGTGGAGAACAGAGTGTCGGCCCCAACCCGGGATGATCACAAGGGTCCTGAGCCACAGATTGTCCTCAGGGGCTGGGGGATGATGGACGGTAGCGTCCCCTCTGCATCCCTCCCCTTTCCGCAGTCCAGGCGAAGGCGTGGGCGAGGAACCCTGGCAGGCGCCCCTTCTCACCACCCAGGCTGCGGAGCTGCGGGCAGGGAGCTCGCGCGAGTCGGGGAAGGGCGCACGGTGGGGAGCCGCCAGGCTGTGGCCCAAACTTTCCCCGGGGAGAAGCGGGCAGGGGAGCGGGCCGCCGGGCAGGCGGGTCCTGGCGGCTCCCCAGGGAGGCGGTGGCGGCCGCTCCGCCCCACGGGCCGCTGCAATCACGGCGCCCAGGGCAGCGGCGGGCCGGGGCGGGGCGGACCGCAGTCAGCGCCGCCCTCCAGGTGCCGCGGGGCGGGGAGGCGTGCGCACGGAGGCGGCGGCCGGGGAGCGCGGGCAGGGCCATGACCCCCGCCGCTCTCTCTTGCAGGCTTGTGGCCGCCGCCCCCCGAACCTGGCCGCCACCAGCGTGCCGGGCCCTGCGCGGCTCGGCCGTGAGCCCTCCAGGAAGCGGTGAGTGCTCCGCGCCGCGCGCCACGCTGCCCCGGCAACCCCATCCCTTGGCTGGGACCCGGGTCCGCGCCCCGCAAGAGCGCGCGGTGGGAGGGGCGCGGCCCGGGCAGGGTGGGGACGCCCCCTACTTCCCGCAGACTTTGCTGCGGAGACCTTGGCTTCGGGAAAGTTGGGCCCCCTCTGGCCGCGCTGCCACTTATACCAGCGGCGGGGGTGTGTCCCTGCGCGTGGCTGCCTCTGGCCCCTCTCTCCACCTGACAGCCCGCGCTGTCACGAGTTCCTTGGGAAAGGACCAGACCGCCTTTCCTGAAAGATGGCAAAGAGCCGGCGCGGGGCGGGGGCCGGCGGCCTCGGGAGGAACCATTTCCCCTCTATCGAGTATTTCAAAATGTATTATTTATGAACCGCCTCACTTAGGGGCCCCCTGCGCTCCCAGGGCATCAAAGCAGGTTTGCAACCGCAAAGGGCGACCAGTGTGAACGCAGGCGCATCTCTCCTGGCTGGCTGAGCTCTGGCGGAACTGGGGGAGGCGCTCATTAAAAGGGTACCCGCAGCTCCCCAGAGACTGTGGTGGGCGGGGTCTAAAGGCCGGTGGGAACTCTGGCTGTCAGACAGTGATGGAAATCAAGGCAGCAGTCCGTGCAGGCTGAGCAGCCGGGAGGCACCGCCAAGAGGGCTGGAAAGGCAGCCCTGCCCAGGCACTTCTGAGATTGTGCAGACTTGGTGGAAGGACAGCCATTTGATGGATGAGGAAACTGAGGTTCAGAGAGACGCACCCTGAGTAGCAGGCTCTGGTGTCTCCAATACCCGTCTCCCCACTTCCAGGAGGCCCTGTCCTGGGCTATACTAACCACAGAAAGCAACCCTTACCTGTCCAGGCCCCGCCCACCTCATGTTGTGTGTCCCCACCCCTGGGTACTGGTCCTCTGCTTGGGAGGGAGGCTGAGTATTTATGGAAAGACCTAATCCCTTCACCAGCCCAAGGAGGCCAGAGCTCCCGCCTAATCTCTGCCTGGAAGCCCTTGGTGCTGGAGGGCAAGTGGGGGGCTCAGGCAGGAGGAGGGTTCCCCCAGCAGAGATCAGGTCCCTCCTCAGTGTGAAAGGGAGCTTCCGGCTGACGCCTGGATCAGGGCTGTTTGGTGCTTACCTGGCACTTTCCTGTGCCACCCTGGTTTCTGCTCACAACCTCATACCAGACCCCTGACCAAATGCTGTTCCTATCCCTGCTTTAAAGGTGGGAAACAGAGGCCTGCACAGGTACAATGACTGACCCACACCATGAGGCCTTGCTCCCCTGGAGCCCTGCAGGGAAGGGCCTTTGTCTATGGTTGAGGCCCAGCCAGGCCTGTGGACCAGTGAGTGTAAGCCCCAGTGGAATGACTTTAGGTACACATACACATGCACTATTTTAAAATTTTTATTATTTTTTTTTCACAGATGGGCATCAGGCCCAGGGCCTTGCACATGCTAGGCAAGTGCTCTACCTCAGAGCTATAGCCCCAACCCTAGAAAGATTAAGAATGTGCAAGGTCCTGGGTTCCTTCCCCAGCACCACACACACACACACACACACACACACACAGTGCAGATCAACAGTGCATGATTCTTAGGGTGCATGTGTCCAAAATGGGCATGCTCCATTTGCCCCAGCACCCCAGCCACTCCAGCCCTGGGTGTGTCCCATTCATTCCAGGAAAGCTTATCTCAGCCACTGGAGCTGAACCTGCAGGACCCACCAAAGTACTGAGCGAGGCCAGGATTCTAACAGCAGGGTCACTCCACCAGCAGACGGCTCCGTGTCCTGACTTCACACAGATCAGTGGGGGACAACACACAGTAATTCACACCCAACACACGTGAACCCCAGACCAAGAGGCAGAACATGTGGCCCCATGCTCCTCCTAGCCGTGCTGCCTTCCCCACCAGCAGTAACCGGACTTCCAAAAGTGCTCTCCTCCCCTGTGCCCTGTCCACTGTGGCTCCACAGTCCACAGACAGAAAGCACAAAGGACACTTTTTTCTTGCGGCCATGTGCTTCCTTGGCTGACCTATGTTTTCATTGGCCTGCAACATGCAGAAAGGTGTGCACAGCCCAAGCGTGGAGCCATCACAGTGGCCCAGAGAGGGTGTGGGCAGTGGGAGGCCGAGACCCAGGCCCCAGTAGGGTTTCAGTGGGCACCTTGCCCCCTCCTCCTGTTGGAGACAGGCTGTGGCCAGGCAGCTGCCAGCCTCCCTGGGGCCCGTGGCCTCCTGCAGGTCCTCCTGCTGAGAATCGGGTATGCCCTCTGTGGACCTGGAGGCGGCATCTGGTGCCAGCATCTGTCCCTAGCACAGCCCTTGGCCTGGAATTGCAGAGATTCTAATCCCGTTGCAAGGAGGAAGTGCCTTTTCCAAAGAAAACCAAAATGCAGAGGTGTGGTCCGCACCCTTCTCTGTGTCTGTGGCAAGGACAGGAGTCCACAGGTGGGGTCCTGGCCAGCCTTCCCCAGCTGGCATGGAACCTTCTCTGCCTACCAAGTCCACCCACCTAGGCTTTAACACGTTCCTCAGCCCTGACTCTTCCCCCACCCCCTGGTCCTTGAAGAAGGTCTTTGTTAAGGAGGTGGGGCTAGGTGACTCACCACCTCTGTAGGCCTGTTCTGATTTCATCTGGGAAGGTGGCTCTGCAGAGACCAAGCCAGGTGGAGCTCCAGTCTGACTGCCATCTGTCACTTTCCCTCCTGAGCATTCAGTTTCTTCTTTGGGCCACCTAGACATCAGAACCCACCTCTGCTAGGGTGGCCACGTTCAGCAAAGGGAAACAGGGACACTCAGCCAAATTTAAGTGCAGATCAACAGTGCCTGATTCTTAGGGTGCATGTGCCCCAAATGGGCATGCTCCATTTGCCCTGGCACCCCAGCCCCCTCCAGCCCTGGGTGTGTCCCACTCATTCCAGGAGAGCTTATCTCAGCCACTGGAGCTGAACCTGCAGGACCCACCAAAGTACTGAGCGAGGCCGGGATTCTAACAGCAGGGTCACCCCACCAGCAGACGGCTCCGTGCCTTGACCTCACCGCCACATCTTAGGGACTTGGCAAACTCCTTGTTTTACTTTTCTGTCTGAGCTGAAAACCTGGCAGGCAAGCTGGCACGGCCACCACTGTGGGCTGGTAGCTGTGGCTCCTTCCTCCAAGGCTGCTGGGACAAGGTGGCCACAGCTTGGAAGAGCGCCCTTCCCTGGCAGTGCCACTGTGTGGTGTGCTCCCTCGCCCTGTCAGGGGGACCCCTGCAGGAGGAAGTTGGTTTGTATATTACCCACTATCACTGGACAGTCCTGTGGCCATTTGGTGCGGGGAGATTACTATCCCTCTGTGCAAGGAAAAGCCTGTTTGATGGGAAACTGTGGTGCACTCCCCAGCCTCCCAGGGTTTAAAGAGAAGGAAACACCAAGGGCGGGCTCACCCCCTGCACACATGTGAAGAGACCCCAGTGCTGGGCGACAGGGCCCCCACCATGCGCTGGAGCCCATGGGGAGCTTCGTCCCCAGCCTTTTGTCTTCTCTTATTTTGGGACAGGGTCTTGCTAAGTTTCCCAGGCTGGCCTCGAACTTTGGATCCTCCTGCAGTAGCTGGGATCACAGGTGTCCCTTCCTCTCACTCTTGGGCCATTGGCCACGCTCGGGCCCCTCCCATTCCTTCTGATTTCAATGTGTCTTCGTGGGTAGTAAGTTCAAACAATACAGAGCTGGGGGCTCGCAGGACATGGCGCCAAAGCTCAGCGCGGGAATGGCCCCGGCTTTGGAGTCCGTAGTCCAGGGCTGCAGCTCCCTCCGCTGGCCGTGAGGGCTGCGCACCTGAGCTCCTCTTCAGTCTTGGCAGGTCAGGAGTTGTTCTTAGAGGATACTCAGCCCAGGACGGCCTCCGAGAGAGTGAGCTTGGCGCCCATCAGCTGCGTCCAGGAAGGTGGTGGGGAGCAAGGTGACCCTCATGCGGGGTCCCTGTGCCCTGGGGGTGCCACCACCTGTAGACAAGGGGCTGGGGCCCTGGGTGAGCAGACCCGTTCCTTAGCGTCCTCAGAATCACATCTGGAGGCCCGGCTCACCTCTGAGCCTCAGCTCCTGCTCCCAGGCCCTTAGGTCACCCGGGGACTCTCATATGGATGCACCTGAGTCCCACAGGGGCTGGCCCTGTCACCGAGGAGTGGGGCAGCTCCACACTCCCTCCATGCCTGCCTGTCCCCAGAACGACTCAGTGGGGACCGCGCTGCAGGGTCTCATGGTCTTCTGTGCAGCACCTTGAAGGTGCCTGGTGACTCTACACGATAACAATCCCAGTGATAGCAATGGCAAGGATGGTGGCAGGGATGATGACATGAGGAAGGCCACAGTGACAGATAGTCCAGCCCTGTCCTGGAGGCTGGTGGCATGATGCCCAGGTGGCACACGAGAACACTGAGCCCAGCATGTTCTCCTCGCCTTCCCGGCCGCTCCCCTGCCCACTGCCTTCGCGCGTCCTGGTCAGAGGTGGTGGCACCGTGGTACGCGGCAGCTTGGGCCCAGATGGCTGAGCCACACGGGACGCTCCAGCAGGAAGCCTAAGTTGTCACCTGGACACGAGCCCCTGATGCTGTGTCTGCTGGACCTGGCCCAGTTTCTGGGTCTCCAGTGCCACCAGCTGGAGCCACTGCTGGTCCCCATCCTCTTCTTTCCTCCCTGGCCTCGTCCCCGAGGGTCTCCCTAGAGGCATTGTTCCAGTTGCAGGTCAGCCCCGGGGACTCAGCCTGTCAGTTGGGGACAGTCCTTCTGGGAGGTGCTGCTGCTGCCACACAGCACAGTCTTCCCTAGGCCAGAGCTCGGGGCCTGAACGCGTCAGGACTGCGGGGCCCGGGGCAGGGCGGGCAGCCTCAGGGACAGGAGACCCAGCTCGGGGAGGGCAAGCGGGGACAGGCGGGGTGCGCCCACCATGCCACTCCCGGGACTCTGTGCTTCTTGGGACCCACGAACTCGCGCTGCCTGGTGGTGGGAAGAGTCGGAAGCGCTGGTCGAGCCCTGGCTCCACGCTGCAGCCCCCACGGCCCTGTGCAAGTAACTCACCTCCCTCGCCTCATTCCCCGTCTGTGAAGTGGGGATAGGAGCAACCCCAGGCTGGTGGGGTGGCTGGAAGGGTGGCCTAACCACAGGTGACACAAAGTGGTCACCACGAAGGCTCCAGAGCTGGGCCTTCCTGCAGGCGGGGCCCTCCCCTCCCTGATGTCTCCTCCTGCATGTTGGAATCCCCGGGAGCTTTTAAACCCGGTGCCAGCCCACACCCCAGACCCATCACCCAGGCCCCCTGGGGGTGAGCCCAGGCAGGGTTTGGGAAAGCTCTCAGTGGTCAGTGCCCACAGCGCTCTCCTCCCCTCGCTGTGGTGACAGTGCAGATCCTGGGTCAGGGGACCCGGACTGCGGGGCGTCCAGGCCGCTGCTCCAGAGTCCACGTGGACTGCCTCCCCCCTCCAGATCCTCCTGCTGTGTGTCCAGCAGGGACCCCGTCCTCACCTCCTGACACTCACTGCTCACGTGCGCTGCAGCAGTGACCGCGGCGTGCGGCCAGGCAGTCCCCACTTCACAGATGAGGCAGGTGAAGTGTGGGGTGTGAATGTGCCCAAGCCGCAGAGCCAGGTCTGTGCCGCCCGGCGTGGCAGGACCGCAGCAGGGCCAGCGCCTGACGTGACAGGCCTCAGGCCTGCACCTGCCCCACCAGTACCTGCCTGTCACCTCTCCCCCTTCTCCCAGGCCCCCAGGCCATCTTCTAGTGGACATCTCGGGCTTGCCACCTGTGGACCTGCCATTGGCCACACTGGGCTCCCCACCACTCACACTCCTTGGGCCTTAGCAAGCGCCCCGTCCCTAGGGCCTCGTTAAAACACTGACTCTGGCTCCACAGTGCCACCACCTGCAGACAAGGGGCTGGGGCCCTGGGTTAGCAGACTTGCTCCTCAATGTCCTCAGAATAACATCTGGAGGCTGTAACTGGCCTCCGGAAACTGGAGGCTCACCCCCGGCTCCCCCACCTGAGCCCGCCCTGACCTCCCATCTCTGGGTCCTCCCACAGACCTTTGTCCTCCCGGGACCTTCGCAATCTCTTCCTGCTTCCAGAGCATTGTGCCCTGCTTGGGTCACTCCTGCCTATATTTGGGGATGCCAGCCCTGGGTCCAGCCAAATTCTCCTCCATCCCCACAGGATGGCATCCTGCCCTGCCCCACCTGCCCCTGTGGTTTACCTGTCCATCTGCCAATGTGAGCAGGCAGATTCCGGAGTGGTGCCCTCTGTGGCCATGTGCCCACCTGTGGTGGTCTGGGTCCTCCAAGATCAGCGGTTAGGGTGGGAATTGTACTAGATGTTCCTTGCGGGTGGGGAGGCTGGGAGAAAGTTGGAAAGGGGTGCAGGGCTGACCCCAGCAACAGGGAGTCAGGGAGGAAGCAGGAGCACCCCAGGCCACTGTGCCATCAGAGGACAACGAGGGGTCATGGGGCCTCTACCAGCCAACCTGGCCCAGAGCCTGGCACTCAGGCCGCTCTCCGTGGATGAAGAACGTGCTCAGCGCCAGGCCGCCTCTAGAGGAGGGGACCCCTCAGGGTGGCAGCATCTCCCCTTCCTGAGTGTGTTGCCATCTAGGGCTGCTGGGTTTATGGTCTCCGTTCAGCCAAGAACAGGACACAGAGATGGCAAGCAAGCAGCAGGCTCAGTGCCCAAGTGACAGGGACAGACTTCTGCAGAGAGAAGGGGCCTCCGAGCTGGGAGTCGGTGGGGGTGGGGGCTGTTCTTTTATGGTCTCTAGAATCTCCTCCTTTCCTCATCTGCTCCCTCTGTCCACTGTCCGTTTCAGATTTTCCACTGGACTCTCTCTTAGGAGCAGGAGGCCGGAAGTGTCAGTCTGATTGGAGCCCACTGCTGTCCACTAGCACTTTCCTCAAGCAGGAAGCTGACCTCCTCAGGAGACCCTCTCCAGGCTCCTCTGCTCTGGCCCTGTCCCAGCCCCCTCACTTGCCATCGGGCCCGGGCTGCCTGGGCCCTTCTGGGTCTCCCTCAGATGGGCCTACCGAGCCCTGCCTCGGCCAGGTGGGACTCCAGCCCCAGAGTCAGGGAAGTCCTTGCTCCCAGCTCCACATTCCACTAAGCTGGTGGCCTTGGGCAGCCGACACGACCTCTCTGAGCTTTGACTTCCACATCTGCAAAATGGGGCAGCAGGAGTCCCTCGCAGAGTGTCCCTGAGGTGGAGAGACGGGAGCATGCAGGGCCCCAGGCCACTGGCTGCATCTTTATGGATGAATTATTAAGACTCCTTTTTTTTGACCTTGGTACTAGAGAAGGAACCCAGGGCTTTGAGCATGGCAGGCACGTGCTCTCCCACTCTCCCTACCCCTTTTTTATTTATTTTGAGACAGGGGCTCACTGATATGTGGCCTGAACTTGTGATCCTGCCCAGCCTCCTGAGTAGCTGGGGTCCCCGTTGTGCACCACTGTGCTCACCAATTACTCAGAATTCCAAGTGACAGGGCTAGGACAATCCTCGTTTCCCAGGGACTGGGGACAGTGCCCCTTTATGGTTTAACCCATTAGGCCTCCAAGAATCTGAACTGAAAAGAGGGACAGCCCTGCCCCCTCCTGGCTTCCGGCCAGTGCCACAGCCTGGCCCAAGGGTCCCCGTCCGTATGGCTGGCCATTGCTCTGTGGCCCTGGAAGGAGAAGCGTGGTGGTCTATGGTTCTCACCATCAGCCCCAGCCTGGGTCTCCCCTCGACCTTCACGGCCGGCTGCCGCCCACCAGCCCTCCAGCATATCTAGCTTTGAGGCCCCTGAAAGTCTCCACCAGCAGACTCCATTTTTGAGCAAATTCAGCCCAATGTAGTCAGCAGGTGCCATGACTTGTGGCCCATGGTGTGTCCCTCCCGCTGCTTCCTGTTGTCACCCAGAAGGGCCAGTACAAAACAGGTCCCTGGGCCCTGTCTGAGTGCTCTCCTCTCTCCACAGGCCACCGAGGAGCCGCCATGGGGCTTAGACTGTCCTGCCTCAAAGGTAAGCAGGAGGCTCTGCCCTCGGGTGAGGGGGTCTCGAGGGTGATGGGGGTGGGAGGCAGGTCCAGGGAGGCCCAGGGCTGCTGTCCAGACAGGGGAGAGGCAGGAAACCATCCCTGCTCAAGCCCTGCACACAGCAGGTGCTCTGTAAATGTTTGCTCTGACTCTGTGCCCTCCTCCTTCCTTTCACTGGTGGTTAGCAGTGGGGAAGTCCCTGGGCCCTTGGGCCTCCATTTCAGCCCCAGGGGGCACTCCCAGGCAAGCATGGGAGAGGGAGGAAGGCCCCGGCGAAGGGGCTGGACACTCGGGTTGTCGCCCAACACACCAGAGCCTGAGCTGGCCCAGACGGGAGTCATGGCTGGGGATGGCTGAGAGCAAAGGCAGGAGGGGAAAGTTCTAGAAGGACACAGAATCAGTGAGGGGTGTTTGTAGTCTTGGTGGAGGTGGCCTTACTGTCCAGCATCTGCCTGGCCCTTGGCACCTCAGACCAGTGTGGCCGACCCGAGACCTCTGACCAGGAGCCCACGCTGTCCTTCTTCTGTGTCCTGCCCTGGTGACACAGGCTCCAGCCCTCATCCCTCCTCTCCCAGCCTAAGGTCCCAGAGCCACCCTGGCCGGCCCCTGGCCAGGTGCAGCAGGCCCAGGGCCTGACTAGCTCCAGAGAGCTGTGCTGGTCTCACCCCGGCTGTCCCTGGAGTGTCTTCCAGGTGGGGACACGCTCAGTCCCAGGTGCACAGGGTGGTGGCCGAGACCCCATAGCCGCATATGAACGCAGCAGCTAGCTGCTGGGCCTCCTCCCTGCCCCCGTCCTCCAGGTGCTGGGCCACAGCAGACCACCGCTCTGCCTCACTCCAGCCTGCGCCTGGCTGCTGCAGCCCTGGAACGAGCGCCTTGGCTTCCAGGTCTGTGAAATCGGGGCCACAATAGGCCCTGCTCAGGTGGCCCCTGCCTGGAGCTCGAGGCAGCCCGCGGGGCCTTGGTGGCAAGCTGCTGTGACTGCCACTGTTCCAGAAAGGGAGGCTCAGGGAGTCCCGCGAGTGACGAAATGAAGCCGGGTGGAAAGGTTCTGCGCCAGGCGCGGACCCGGGAATCGCTCCAGGAGGGCATCTGATTGGCCCGCTCCAGAGCCCGAGTGGGCGGGGCATCTTGAATGACAGCGCCACCCAGACGGGTCAACTTGGACAGAGAGGTTCCTCTGGAGAGGACTGGGGTGTTGTTTGCAAAGTGGGCTGGGATGCTGGAGCCCACGTGGCCAGGGCCCGGTTCCCTCCGAGTCCCCAGGCTGAGCCCAGGGAGGGGGAGAGAGAGTTGCCGAGTATTTGTGAGCAGTGGGGGGCTGGTCTTGGAGACTTGACTGCAAGGTGGCCACTGGGTCCCCCCAGTGCGCGGCAGAGTTGGCACGCAGGACAGCTCTGTGTTGCTGCTGTGTTCTTTGGCTGTGGTAGAATGTACGAAATGTAAAATGTACCACCTCAACTGTGACACACGCGTACAGGTCGCCTACAGGTCGGTGGCATAAACTGCCCCACCCACCGCCCCACCCACCTCCAGAAATAATACGTCCTGTTCCCAGCCGGGGACTGGACAGTTGAACACGACTCCCGGTCCCTCCCCCGCTCCCGGCTGCTGCCGCCCTGCTTTCTCTCTCCATGAACTGGACGAGGTGGCGTACACCCGTGGATCCCCGTGTTTGATTCTGCACTTGAGCTTGTTTCCTTGTGCACCTGAGGGCCTTCCCCTGTGCCTACCCTGTCAGTCCGTCTTGCGTCTCTGTGACAAAGTTCCTGAGATGAACGACTTATGCGGAGCGAGGGTTTATTCTGCCCACAGCTTCAGAGCCTCGGTGGGTCGTCACCAGGCCCGTTGCTTGGGGCCCATGTGGTTCAGAATTCCCTGGCAGCGGCCCGGGGCAGGGGAGGGGAGGGGAGCCTGTTCATCTCCAGGAAGGCAGGAGGGCTGGGAGAGGGGGAAGTCAGGTGCTCACAAGCCCCACCACCTCCCAGCAGGGCTGCGGGCTGGGGACCCAGCCGCAAGGCATGGGCCCTGGGGGTGCTTCAGAGGCACAGCATGGAGAGGCCGTTCTGTCCCCCGCTTGGCCTCCTGGTGGACTTGTGAGCTCCTCTGGGTGTCAGGTCAGGGCGTCTGACAAGGGACCACCCCTGGAGTGACCCAGTAGCCACGTTCCTCTCGGACAAGGGCAGGGCTCAACCAGGGAAGCAGACGGGGGCCAGGGACCCTGCCGATACCTGAGCCCTCGCTCCCACCCCCCAGGACTGAGAGCCTGTCGGCAGGCTGAGGGCTTCTGGGCCGGAGCTTCTAAGAGGGCCGCCTTCCGGCCGGCGCTGGCTCAGCCGAGTGCTGGAGTGGCCCCCAAGCCGGGCGCGGCTCATCCACTTTTCATTGCTGGCTCTGGCCCTGCAGGCCTCTGCCCGCCCTGCCTTGGCCTCTGGAGGCCACACGGGCATGGCGGTGGCTCCAGGCTTCGGCAGTGCCAGCACAGAGCCTTGGCCCTGTGCCCAACCGAGGCAGACCCCCCTCCTCCCGGAGCCCTGCCTGTGTCCTCCCCACAGGCCCCCGCAGCTGACGGTCCTCCTCCGTCCTCCTCCCCGGCGGCCACAGGTGGTCTGTGCGTCCTGTGCGGTCTGGGGTGGTGTTTCTTGAGATGGCACTGGGTCAGCCCTCGGTAACGACCGTCGGATCGCCCAGAGTTGTCCTGGCCGGCTGTTGTGTAGGTGACACCACGTCGGCATCTTGATTTTTTCTGGTTTTATTATTATTATTACTTCCCTGGGACAAGTCCCCCAAATCGGAATGACTGGGTCAGACAACAATAAATGGCTAGAGCTGGGGACGTGGCTCAGTGGTAGAGCTTGCCCAGCACACAGTCCAGGACAGGGACCCAGTTAGGACCTTGGCCCCTCTGCCGTAGCCCCGAGACTGGGGCCAGGGCTCGGGACCACCCAGCCACTCCCGCTTGACCCTTTCACAACGTGCCCAGCTCCAAGGCACTTCCTTAGTTCAAATCCCAGCTCTGTCCTTTATCGGGATTGGGCCTTGGAGCAAGACCAGCTTCGGGGGCACGTGGCCCCCGCAGCCACAGAGGGCCTGCCGGGGCGGCCCGATCCACTGCAGTCTCCCTTTCCCGGAGTCCACCAGCCATGCGTGGCCGCCCTGGGGAAAGCCACCTTGTCTCTCTGGGTCTCACTGTTCTCAGCGCCCTTCACCCGGCCCTCGACTGTGTATTGAGCGCCTGCTGTGTGCTGGGTTCTGAGAGTGCTTTGAGCTAACAGGTCGGCTGCTCGGGGCTCAGCAAGGCAGCTGCGCTGTCCCACGAGCAGAGAGCAGACTCCAGCACTGTGGCAGTCCTGGGGACAGGGACAAACAAAACAATAAGTAGGCCAAGTTATTTTTATTTATTTATTCGGTGCTGGGGATCGAACCCAGGGCCTTGAGCATGCTGCACGAGCACCGTGCCACCCAGCCGCCTCCCCTGCCTGGGTCACTGTCCCATTTAATCCAGTGCGGAGGGACCAATTGGCCAGGCTGGGCTCCATTTGATAGGTCTAAGGGGTCTCAGGTCTATCTGGGAGGCTCTGGGTGGCTGTACTAAGGGACCCGGGTGGTGGAGTCCAGGGTCCAGCTGGGTGGTCTGTTGGCTGCTCTGAGGCTCACAGGGGCTGTCACATCCTCCTCCTGCCTTGGGAATCTTCTAGAATCTTGGCTGCTTTCTGAGCTGGAAGGTGCCTGTGCTCCCTGCAGAGCCTCACCTTTCAGTGGGGAAGCTGAGGCCCAGGGAGGCAGGACGAGTCTGGAGTCAGCCTGGCTGTGGGTACCTCTCCAGGAGGCCCTCCACCACCTGTTCTCACTCCCCTAGGAGGAACGAGAACAATGGGATTGGCCCAGGTCCCCTTGAGGTGTGTGGTATCCAGGGGTGGGGCACTTCTCTCTGGGCTTCAGTCTGCCCCTCCACTCCCGGCTACCCAGCGCTTCCCCACCCACCTCCTACCTGGGCCTCCACAGGCCCAAGGGTCATGTCTGCAGGAAGACAGAGGCCTGGCCCCTCCCCTCTGAGCCAGTCTGAGTGGCGTGGGCAGGCACTGCCTGGGGTCCGCTGCCTCCAGCACACACAGGTGCCCAGGCTCTGTGATAAATGACCAGGACTGGGTGCAGGAGCAGCAGGACTCTGCTGTCCACCGCTCTAGAGGCCAGGCGTCTGAGGTCCAGGTGGCACGGGCCACACTTCTCTGGGGCTGCCGGGGAGGCTCCTTCCTGCCTCGTCCAGCTCCTGGTGGCTCCAGCGTCTCTGGCTCAGGGCCTGCCTGTGTCTTCACATGGCACCTTCTCTGTCTGTGTCCGAGCCTCCCTCTCCTTTTCTTGTAAGGACATGTCATTGCATTTAGACCCCCTAATCCGGGATGAGCTCATCACAAGATTCTTAACTAATTACATCTGCAAAAAGACCTCATTTCCATATAAGGCCACATTCTGAGGTCCTAGGTTGGTGTGAATTTTGGAGGACACTGTTCAACCCACTACAAATCACGTCCCCTCCAAGCCCTCTGGTGTGTGGGACAGGAACAAGTCCTCCATCTGCCAGTCTGAGAAGGGGACATGGAGGGTGACATCTGAGGGGGGCTGCGGCTATGCTGAGACCCCTTTGTTTCCCCCGAGGACAGTGGGCCCAGCACTGTGTTCTGTGGGGTCCTTCCCCCGAGGGCCCAGCCATGGCCAGAGCACCTCCCTGGCGCCCCTCCTCTGAGGGCTGGCACTCACGGTGTCCCTGGGAGCCGGGCACAGCTCGTCCTTATGCAGCAGGATGGCAACAGTGACTTCACATTCAGGGAGACTGAGGCGCAGGGCAGTACCCGCCAGCTCAAGGCCACACGGTGGGTTGGGAGGGGCTTGGCTAGCAGCTGGGGGGGTGAGGCACGCGGTCTTCCTGCTGCTCTCCTGGGCACAGAGGGTGGCACACCAAGGGAGCAGCGCCTGAGCCGCGTGGTT